AGAAGGTGGAATATCAAAAAACTTTAACACAGTTTAGTTACACAGACTATTTGGAGACATAGAGTGTGATAAATGAATGCTATAATATGGAAACAATAGGAGGCCAATAAGGAGGAATCAAGAGGCTCAGAGAGGGGCTTCCCTGGTGGCGCAGTAGTTAGAGTCCGCCTGCCAATGCAGGGGACATGGGTTTGTGCCCCGGTCCGGGAAGATCCCACATGCCGCGGAGCGGCTGGGCCCGTGAGCCATGGCCGCTGAGCCTGCGCGTCCGTAACGGAGAGGCCACAACAGTGAGAGGCCAGCATACCGCAAAAAAAAAAAAAAAAAAAAAAAAAAAAAAAAAGAGGCTCAGAGAGAGTTTCCTACAAGAAGCAAAATGGAATATTTCCATTGTGCAATGAGGTTCTCCCTCCCTCTTTCTCCTATTGTACTTTCATAGCTCTCATTTTATCTTCACACTGGTATGGGAAAAGAATCATATATCTTAATTAAAAGATAGAAAAACAGGCTGAAAGAAGTAAAGTGACTTGCCTGTAGATTTCAGAGGGGTTTTTTATTGACCTATCATGATATTAATTACACACCATAATTTTAAGAAATAGACGTTTTTGCCAAAAGCTAAGTCACGGGGTACTTAGGTTCCTTAATAACATACATATTCTTAAGATAATGATTTTATAATATGTAACTAAATTTTCTATAAGGTTGTGCTCCAAATTTGATACACATTACCATCAATACATTTTCTGAGGAGAAATACTGAAAAATCATACCACTTAGGAATGTCAGTATTTTTGTTTCTAATTGCCAGAAATGCAAGCCTAAGGCAGATATGTCATTTGAGACATTTGTGAAACAATGATGGTTAAACATTAAAAACATGAAAAAAAAGAAGTCATACCAAGGCTGCAAAAGAACAACCCTTCAAAATAATTTCATCACGTTTAAATACTGTCATTTAAATTTACTAGCTAAAAAATTGAAATTAATGTGAGATGCAGTGTGAGGAATTAATGATTCAATACTAGTGGAGGTTAGCTTTTGAAATAAAGATCAAATAAAATGGCCCTCAGAATTCTATGAGAGAAATCAGAAGTGATGAAACTAATCATGTTTCAGATGAAATGGTAAAATTTTAGTTCCAAACAAAGGGTAAATAGGAAGTTTCAGCTTGGTAGCATGCCCCCATCACTGCACTAAGTGGGGAGATACTGAGCTGGAGAGTAGCTTTGGATCTAAGGATATTCTGATGGTGTTGGAAAGACTGGAAAAGGGAGATGCTAGAGGCAGGAGGGCAGGAGGGCAAGCCAGAGGCTGCTCCAGCCATCAAGTTTGGGATGTAGGTGGCAGCAGGGGTGCAGAGGGAATGACATGGAAGCTGCTGGGTGGGGGAAATTGACAAGGCTTAGGGTCTGCCTGGATGTGGGAGGGGAAGGAGGGGAAGGAGTTCAAGTGACAGCATAAGACTTTCCAGATGGTTTTCAGAGCAGCTGAAAGGAACAACTTGACATAAATGTCCTACTTTTAGACCAACCATGAAATAGGTCCTAACCTCCAGCAAAGCCTTCAGAAGCCACTACCCTGTCCTTCTGAAAGAACTCTCTTCTACCTTCGGCTCTTGAGAAAAGAGCCCTAGTTTAGCATTAATGGTAACTTTAACTTGGAGAACATGTAGTTTTATCACAAGAATTCTTCAGTGGAAAAATATAATCCTTTTAATAGCATTTGGATCCTGTTCTTTCTTCCCTAGCTTTTTATGAAGGGAATGACTTGGGCTTCTGTTTTCCTATCTGAAAACCTGGGATAACAGCCCCTGCTTCAAAGAGCCACTCTCAGGCTTCTGTGACATAATGATGCATGTGCCATGCACACACAGTTTGTAAGGAGGGTTATTAAGGTTTCTCTGCCAATCAGATATGTTCTATGTGATGCTGGTGGGTAACAAGGAGGACAGTAGTGGAAGTTACTGGGGGACAGATTTTGCCCCAGGGTAAAGACAAACCTTCTGGGATCCAGAAATTGCAGAAGTTGAGAATAGCCACCTAGAGAGAGAGCAAGCTGCAGGCAATGAGGGTGTTCTAGCCAAACGACATGGTAGAAAAGAGACTTTCCATCAAGCTATGGCGCACATGATAGATGGTGGCCTCACTCATCTTCATGGGTTTTACCAAACCGAGTTTATATATAGTTATCTGTCGCTTCTTCCCTTCTAGGAAAGAGAGCAAAGCATAATTCCAGTGAGTGAGAATGTTGATAATTCAGCAGTAATTGTAATGGGTTAACATTTGTTAACTATCTATCATTGGCTGGGCACATAGGTGCTTTATAAATGTTCTTACATTCAATCTGTGGGAAAAGGCTGTGAAACTAGGTTTATGACTAATTTGAAATAGGCTCCTGCCTATGACTTCTCAGCTGGCAAGTGATGAAGCCAGGATGGAAACACATGTTTGCTTGCCTCACAGTGGTGTTTACTGAGAAAGAGAGGAAGGGGGGGAGGGGAGGGCAAGCTGTGGGGAGGAGGGGAGCATCCACAAATACTAGCAGAGCGCCTAAATATTATCATCCATACATCATTTGGACACACACCACAAATGAAAAGCACAATGTAGAGAAGTAATTTTCACACTCTCACGCTTTTCCACAGGAGTGCTCCATCTGCTTCAGACAGTGACCATATGCCCCCAGTGGCCTGGGAGGTAGCCTGAAGAAACATCTTTATTTTATTCCATAACACGGCCATGACTGTTTCATATAAAATGTACCTCCGTATTTTAGAGGAAATTAATGTACAGTAGAATGCGTGTCATCTTCATCTTGTACCTTCATGTTTCCCCTGGAACGTCACTCTTCCCCCTGCCACAGTATTCCAGCTTTAGAAGCATTATCTGAAAATGTATACATTCATTAGTCCAGAGGTGGTTAAAATATCCAGCAAACTTTTTTAAAGGCCTATAATTATGTCAACAAATTAGCATTTCAGAGGTTTACAAGGCACCACTTATTCATACATTCATACATCCAGTATCTCAAGATTTTTATGCATTTCATCCACTTAGTTTTCATTGACAGAGCACTGCTGGAATCCCCAGGGACTTCTGGTCTACCCTCAATATTCCTGTCTGCTCCAGCACTGCTGAAACAAACTCTCCTTTGGGTAATAAGCCCAACATTCTCAGGAAGGCTGTGTTCCTCACCAGCCTCCTTCAGTGCTCATAAACTCCAGCTCATCATTGTGTTGAGAGTCAGGAGACGTTGTCTGACTGTTGTCGCTGCACCTGCTATCTTATTGGACTTATCCAGACAGCCCTAGCCCTCAGAGCAGCTGAAACAACAGATGGGCAGGAGAACTTGAGATGTTTTTGACACTGTCCTTTTGTTTATGGAATCGCCCCCCTCACCCCAACTCTGGAATCTGATAGGAATTCTCTTCATGACCATTTTGTGTTTTTTTCCCATGACACATTTTTATTATTAAAAAGTAAATAATTGGTGCAGAGGGAGATGAAAGAGAATAACATTTCCTTTTGAAAATGGTCAAAAAGGAAGTGAGGATGGTGATTTGGTCATGTGGATAAATATATCTTTGCCTTGGAAGATAATTGGCAGTAGCCAGATTCCTTTGATGGCAGGGGAATTCAAGCAGGGAGATGAGAGGGGATAAGGAGGGGAGGGAGGTAATCTGGTGTAAGGTTGAGTGTGAGGAAGGTAGAACAGGCATTGCTCTAGGAGGTCTTGAGAGCAAAGGAGAGATGCAATCTAGGCAAATTGGAAAGCTAGCAGGAACCAATGCCTGGAATTGCGGTTCCAGGACAAGATGCCCCTTTGTAAGGAGTGAGATTGTTAAAACAAACCTGAACTAGGGATTAGGGAGGCAGACTGCAGGATATAATTTAATGTCATATGGTTGTAAGCATTTTGCTTGATCTCTCTATGCCTCAGATCCATCATCTGTAAAATAAACATGAAACTACTAGTACACATGTAGTATTGTTTTGGTTCTCAAATGAGAAAACACACGGAAAGTGCTTAGCCCCGGTCCTGACATTCAATTAATAGACGCTGCTATTGTTATTATTTTAGTCAAGAGTGAGAGACACAGGGAGGAGCAAGTGGCAGGGAGATGGAGAATCACTGGATGTGAAACGTAAGGAAAGGGCTTGCTTGCTTGTAATGGGGTTTCTGCTCAGATCTTAAAAAGAGGGCAGTAGATCAGACAGTGCCCACAGAATCTCGCATGGTGCTTTCCCACCTCTGTGCCTTTACTTCTCTCATTTATTTTTTCCTGGATGGCGTTCTCCCAAACACCTTCATTATGGGCCACATACCATACAATTCTTATCCACCAGGGTTATTGTAAGGGTTAAATTAAAGATAAAAAGTACCTAGTAATATTCATGGTACTGTGTCATTTTAGTGACATTTAGATGCTACATTTTAGTGTAGTCCATCATACATGGGAGAGTGCCTTAATCACAGTAGACATTAAAAATTATTGGATAGCTAACTTATATGTGGAATCTAAAATACGACATAAATGAACATATCTATGGAACAGGAACAGACTCACAGACATAGAGAACAGCCTTGTGGTTGCCAAGGGGGAGGGGGGTGGGGGAGGGAAGGGTTAGGAGTTTGGGATCAGCAGATGCAAACTAGTACACATAGGATGGATAAACAACAAGGTCCTACTGTATAGCACAGGGAACTCTATTCAATCTCCTGTGATAAACCATAATGGAAAAGAATATGAAAAAGAATATATACGTGTATAACTGAGTCACTTTGCTGTCCAGCAGAAACTAACACAACATTGTAAATCAACTATACCTCAGTAAAAATAAAAAAAATTAAAAAAAACAAATAAAATTATTGGATAATTAAATGTGCATGTGATATCAAAAACAAGCAAGACTGGGAGACATGTACTCAAGGGGATCCTTTTTGTCTGTCCCCAGCCTTGCATCTGTATAGTTAATAGTCTTCTTTATGTTTTGCAGGGATCTAAATCTTGGCAGTGTGTACCAGTACTGGGTCATCACTATTTCAGGAAACGAAGAGAGTGAGCCATCACCTGCTGCCACTTACATCCATGGAAGTGGGTACTGCGGTGATGGCATCATCCAGAAGTAAGTAGGCCTAACTAAAGAGAGGAGTGGGAGCGATGCTGAGTAGGCCAAGACGTGGTCAGGGTGCCAAATAGAAGAGCTTATGGGATACTCTTCAGGGTTGAGCTGTGAGTTACGTGGGATCCTCAGCAGTCTGCCAGTTTGTCTGCAAGCAGCTCGCTGGCCTCAGAGAAAAAGCAATGATTCTTTTTTGAACAAACACGTTTCTCAAGCATGTAATGACAATATAAGATTTCCATAGAGCTACCATTATGCACTTACTACCAGTATGCTCCTGTTCTGTGTGTACTACAAGGACTCTATTAGTTTTTTCCACCCCAGGCCACATTCACTTAACAGGACACAGTGCACCTAGGTTCAAACACTTTTACATTCTTTGCTAGTTACCATTTACATTTCTTAAAACTGCATGTTTATTTATTATTTCTGTTGTATCGTGTTATATCAACAATTTACAAACTGGGTCAGAGCCTTATAAAAAGAGCAAAATATTTCAGCTCTCGATAATGTTGAAACCGTGATAGTAAACAGTACTCCAGAGTGAATATTGAATGTGATTATAAGTTCAGGGAGGCAAGTGTAAAGATTCCACACGAGCAGCCAAAAAAGGAAAAGTGTGATTAGAAGATAGAAAGCTGTGTGTCTAAAAAATGGATTTTATTGGATCATCAGTCCATCCATCCCCTGTCCACAGGGCAAGATGTTATGCAACTGAGAAATAGTTGCAAGAAGCCATCAAGACTTTTGCATTGTTGGAAAAAGAAGAGTAAACCTTTGAGGTTTTTTTCCTCCAGAGTAAGCACAGAAGTATTTTCGGTCACTAAATTGAATGGTTTTCTCCCTAGAGATGAAAAAGAGACCAAGAATCATGCACAATTAAGTTCCTTATTGCTAAAATTGTGTTCTTTATTGTGAATACAGTTACTAGTCACACTATTGCTAAGGGACTTTTAAAACTATTGGTAGATTTAATGATAAACGTTACGTATGGAGAGATGACACAACAAGCTATTGGCAAAATTCCTTCATTAAGTGGCACTGTTGGGTGTCACATAATATCTGTGCAACATGGAATTGCAATGACTATTTCTGTAGGGGGAGGGGCACTCTAAAGAGAATTTGTTTCACAGCTGGATGAAACCACTGATGTACAGAACATGAATCGGCTCACAGGTATAGTTCATATATGAAAGAGAAGGGCTCGATGACTATTTCTTTTAGTTTATCATTGACACTAGTGCTTGAGGTCAAGAGCAATTTAATTTGGTACTGATGATTTTGTGGTGTGTAATGTATACTGGAAACCTGCTATGGAATGAAAGGACCAGATAGGAACACAGCAAGGATGACGCAGCACAAAAGGAAGGGGTTTGTACAAGAATACCCATCTGCACAGACATCTGTTACTGGCCAGCAGTTTGCTTTCTGATCATGGCTCAGCATTGAAGGGAAAAGTAGATGTCGAGAATATGATCAGATGCGGGCCAGTGAGTTACAACTGCCCAGCTTCCTGTGCAAAAAGATAACAGTATGTGTAAGATTCTGCACCCCCATACACACTGAAGTATGCCAGCTGTTACGAGAAAGGTACTAAGTCAAGTTTCTGAAATAACGAATGACTTTTTTTTAATGTTGACATTGATAAAGGCCAGTAATGATTATTTGCACAATTTCAAGTGGCTTGCTGAAGTGATGTATCTCAGGGATATATATTCATGTCTTAAATGTCCTGCATCTATAATTTCAAAGCTGAATTATCTAGATTTCCATACGGAGGAGATAATATAAGGATTTTTAAGCGTTGAATTGTGATGCAAACCACCTGATTGCCGAGAATTTGACTCCTCAAGCATAGAAGATAAAACTCCTCGCTTGTCAGAGAATGAAATTGATGGCGTGCTGTCATGTGTACTTAAGATCCTCCTCCAAATGCAACAAACAAACATGAAGATATGGTTTCTGGTGCTTTAATGTAACAAAAGTGGACAAAGGGAAGATAGTCACTGTTTTCTCCCACATTAAGACATCGACTTCTAGGGTTTTTTGTTTGTTTGTTTGTTTGTTTTTCTTCCAGTACACGGGCCTCTCCCTGTTGTGGCCTCTCCCATTGCGGAGCACAGGCTCCGGACGCACAGGCTCAGCGGCCACGGCTCACGGGCCCAGCCGCTCCGCGGCATGTGGGATCTTCCCGGACCGGGGCACGAACCCGTGTCCCCTGCATCGGCAGGCGGACTCTCAACCACTGCGCCACTAGGGAAGCCCTGACTTCTAGCTTTTGATGCAGCTGTTGTATGATGGAACCCTGAGCACCTGAGCAAGACAGTCTCCAGGGAAGGTGCCCTATCATCTGTGGGTACAAGACTGAGCTACGTATCCAGAATATGCAGGAAACAGTCACGGTCATTGCTGACAACCCATAATTGTGATTTGGGATTTTCTAATTTAGCACGAGGAATAAAAAAAGAAACTCAGTAGATGTAGGAAATGATCTATGGTTCAGTCTGTCCGTTTTGGAATCAGTTGTAGGTGCACTGGTAAGACACTGCAAAAAATATTATTCTTCTCACTGATCTAAAACTACTAGTAGTAGTAGTAGTGATTTAAATAGTATTCTTACAAAGATTTTTAGTATTTTTTTTTTTACCTAGAATTACTATCCTGCATAGACATCAAATACGTGTTGAATTACCTGCAGGTACCAAATAGTTGTTGACATACTTTGTAGAAAACTGAATGCAGCTTATGGATGATTCCCTAAGCAAAAAAACAAACAAACAAACAAAAAACAAAATAAACTTTGAAGGAAAGAAAGGATGCCGTCTTCTCTAATTGGATTTTTCATGGGATGATACATGCTAATTTACTGTACATATGCAAAGGAATTTACAAATAAATACAGGTAGACTCAACACTCATCAAGGGCCCTGATGAATGAAAACACTGGATGAGTCTTATAATGATAATTATAAATATTTATTGAGACTCTACTAGGCAGGAGGCACTGTGCTACATTATGATCTCCTTGGGTTCTTCCAACAACCACGTGAGATAGGTCTTATTACCATACTTTACGAAGGAGACAACTTGCACACAAAGACTAAAATTGTTTTCTGAAGCTTACACACCCAGTAAGGAGCAAAACCAAGATGTGAGCCCAGGGCCCAGGTTCACATCTGGATTTTCCATTGCCTTGCTGTGACTGACAGCCCTGCAAAACTGACAAGTGAAGGAGTAACCACGTGCTATCGGCTCTGTCCCAGACACTGTGCCAGGAGTCAGGGTGCTAGGATGACAAAGCCTCTGTCACATCCTTTGGCATCTTAAAGCCTAGGATAGAGTGCTCTCAAGTAACAGGCAAAGGCAGTCAGTTTGACAAGTGCTCTGATAGATGGAGCCCCTTGTCTCTGGACTCAGAGAAGATGGCCACCCACTCCAGCCTGGGAGGTCAAAGAAGGTTTCTCAGAACCTGTCTATCTAATGATAGATCTGTCATGCCTAGAAGATATTTGTGGTGACCCTAATGTTTTGCTTAAACCAATAGAACATATTGTTGGGGTGGTGAGGGAACGGGTTAGAAGTGTTCCTTGTGGCTTAGGGAAACCAGCCCGGGTTAAAAAAAAAAAAATCTCTCCCCAGATAACCCATGAAATAGCTAAGAAGCACAAGGCCACCACCAATTTCCAGTGTGCAAGATTTGCTGGCAGAGACTGGAATATGGGCCCAGCTTGGAATATATCAACAGAATTCTTTTCTCATGGGTTTGCAGACAGGAGAGAAATTGGGTGGCTCTTCAGAGATCAATGCAATGTCCTAGTCATTGTAAGGATTGATTACAAGGCACCATCCTGCTACTCTGACACCTCCGAAAAGCAACAAACATTTCCCAGTGTAATTGCCCGGGTGAAAGGCAAAGTCTGAGGCTTCTTCCATGCTGGGACAGGTCCCAGCTGGTCTCTGGGGATGAAGGAGCAACTGCCACACACTCTGCGGAGACCTCCCAGGACAGGTGGGTGGGCATGGGAACTGTGACTCTCTGAGCATCTACTGTATGTCGCACGCCGGGCCAGCCGCATTAAGTTACATTCCATTTTTGCACCAACGCTAAGGAGTAGGTGTAATTATCTCCATTTTAGCCCATGAGAAGACTGAGATTCAATGCCCCGAACAGCACTGTCCAATGGATTTTTCTGCAATACTGGAAACAGGTTCTGTGCTGTCCAATATATTTGCCACTCCCTACATCCAGCTATGGAGGACTTGAAATGTGGTTACTGTGACTAAGAAATGGAAAGTTTAATTATTTTTTATTTTAATTGATGTAAATTGTCAAAGATAGAAATATCAGAGAGAGAGAGAGAGAGATTAAGGGACTTGTCCGAGATCACACAGTTTGGAACATGGGGCTCTAAACCCAAGTTTCTGTTACTAAAAGGATGGGAGGGACTTCCCTGGTGGCTCAGTGGTTAAGAGTCCGCCTGCCAATGCAGGGAACACGGGTTCAAGCCCTGGTCCGGGAAGATCCCACGTGCTGCAGAGCAACTAAGCCCGTGTGCCACAACTACTGAGCCTGCGCTCTAGAGCCCGCGAGCCACATCTACTGAAGCCCGCGCGCCTAGAGCCCGTGCTCCGCAACAAGAGAAGCCACCGCTATGAGAAGCCCATGCACCGCAACGAAGAGTAGCCCCCGCTCACCGCAACTAGAGAAAGCCCGCATGCAGCAACAAAGACCCAACGCAGACAAAATGCAGGTAAATAAATAAATAAATAAATAAATAAATGGATGGGAGTTTTCCAGAAAGTGGTAACCCATCCAAACTTCAGTGGTTACTCCTCCTTCCCTTTCCCTAGGTCCAATTCAGAAAGCATTGCTCATTTTCTGCCCATCCTAACCACTGCAGAATCATCCTTAGGTGATGGAAATAATTCCTCAAAATAAAACGAGGGGAGGCATTTTTATTTCTTAACAGCATAGGACACAGGCCTTAGAGTTCTTGACACTATGAAATGACACACCCAATGGAGAAGGCAGTGTTTTCTGATCTAAGGAAGATCAAACCTGAACACGTGGATGGAGAAAATCTTTACCTTTAAGTGCACTGAGGGTATGGGGATAGAGCTAAGGCAGGGCATCATGAAGAACAGCATTTATACCTTCGAGATTCCAAAATTCCCTTCAAATTCTCAATTTTAAAGTGGAAGTGATGGGTCTTCCCTGGTGGCGCAGTGGTTAAGAATCCACCTGCCCATGCAGGGGACTCGGGTTTGAGCCCCGGTCCAGGAAGATCCCACATGCCGTGGAGCAGCTAAGCCCATGCACCACAACTGCCGAGCCCGTGTGCCACAACTACTGAAGCCCGCGCGCCTAGAGCCCATGCTCTGCAACAAGAGAAGCCACCACGGTGAGAAGCCCACGCACCACAACGCAGAGTAGCCCCTGCTCAATGCAGCTAGAGGAAGCCCACGTGCAGCAAAAAAGACCCAACACAGCCAAAAATAAATAAATAAAAAATTTAAAATAAATAAATTAAAAAAATAAAATGGAAGTGAGATTTCCCAGACACACTGGAACAAAGTCTGTGCATCCGTTTGTTCATTCATCCTCCTGTTACTCGCATCTGACTTGCTAACTTAACTTAAGGAGACCTCAGCAAATGGGTTTGAAGTAGGAATTCTACTTTGTCATCAGGAACACAGTAAGGCAAACATAACAGAATCTCACAAATTCACCTTGTGCGCATCTCATTTGGAAGAAACAGAAAACTCAGACAGGGAAAGGGACTGGCCCGAGGCCTCAGCAGAAAGTTCATGGCCCCGGAGAGGGACTTTTCCATGTCCAGCTTTGGGTTTGAAGCTGATCTGACAAATTTCCCCCTCTATATCCGTTCTGCAGAAGCCAAGGTGAAGAATGTGATGACATGAATAAGATCAATGGGGATGGCTGCTCCCTTTTCTGCCGACAGGAAGTTTCCTTCAATTGCATCGGTAAGTCCTTGTCCTTTCTCTGGGCCTGGCTGGAGAAGTGGACAGCGCAGAATGGCTAGTCAGTTACAGTGACAGCAATAGTTATAACTAAATGATAATTCACTCCTTTATATTACACATATTTATTGAGTACCTCCTAGGGGGCCAGGCACCGTTTTAGGTACTAGTGAATACAGCAACGGAAACAAACAAATGGCAGGTATCCCTGCCCTCATGGAGCTTATGATCTCATAGATGATGGTGATGATGGGCAACCCTTTTGATCAAGCTTTACCTTACATAGATTATTCCTTTTCTTCATGCCAACTTCCAGGTTAATTATTAGCATAGATTTTTTAAGGCTTTTATTCTTACTTTAGAGATGAGAAAAATCAAAAGCCAGAGAGATTATAAAATATGTCCAGAGTCACACAGGTTAGGATTGAAGACAGAACCAGGACTCGAACCTGATTTTGTCCGATTCTCACACACAAGCTCAGTTCATTTTGCTATACAGCCTCTAGCCAGGATCTAGTCTCTCTGACTTGAGGAAAGAGAAATAACAGACCAGCAGACCAGCCTGTGTTTAGAAAGCAAATGTCCTTTTCCCACCTTTATGGAGTCAGATGGGAAATTTGTTTTCCTCTGCCTTCCCCAGGAGTCTGGCTGATCTTGTTGTTTTAGCCCCACTCGGGAGGCCCTGGTCAGCCCGGGGCTGGTAAGCAGACGGGGGCTGGGGGGCAGGGATGGAATTTTGAGCTGGCCCAGATGAGATCATGCTTCCTTTAAGATGCAAATCGATACCTGAAGATCAAAGGTCCCCTGGCTAATCCCCGGGGCTGGAGGTGAAAACTAATCACAATTCATTTGCAAGTACAAAAGAGAGAGGTGTTCCGTCTAAGGAAGGGATGAGAACGTCAGTGGGAAGATTTCTCACTGAAAGGCAATTTTCTAGGAGGACTACAGGGGAGGAAATGTCACCGGTTCCTCGCGTTTGCAGCACATTGCAGGCGAGCTTTTAGACCTTTCTTCCCCTGGTATATTGTGAGCTCTCTGAGGTTTTTACCATGTATCATTTACCTTGTATTCCATTCTCAGACACATTTATTGAGCGCCTATTATCTCCTTGGCACCATGTGTGGGCTGAGCAACACAGTAGAGGTGTCCCGAAACTGTTTGTGGATAGAAAGAAAGGAAGATACGGAGGGAGGAAGAGCAGGACAGTTTCCGGTCAGGGCCTTGGGTTTTTAAAGGGCAGAAGTTTTTTTTTTTTTCTCTTCTCTGTTGATTTGAATATGATTCATAATAAAACCTTGATATGAGCCTAGTGGTAGGGTGGAAAGAGCCTTGGACTAAATTTAAGAAAACCAGGATCTCTGGTCCCAGCTGTGCTGAGAACTTGCTGCTTGAAGCTGGCCAAGTCACTTCCCTAGGCTGGACCTCAGTTTACCTCCCATAAATTGAAAGGATTGGGTTAGGTGGTCTCTAAGAGCCTTATCTGCCCTTCTGTTGTATGGTTTCCAAAGCGTGTGACGATTTCTCATAATCGTGAGTTCTGCTTGAACCGACTCTTGCCTTTGCCATCATCCTCATGACGCCCAACATTACTGTCAGATCTTGCTGGAGGATGTCCACCTATTTTACTGGCACTAAGATGGCATGTGACTTAAGCGCTTATGGGAAGAAGGTACGATGTGGTTAAGTTAGGATATGGTGCTGTCCATGGAACAGATCTGCAAATTAACAGTCCTTGGCCCAGAACTGGCCTACTGCCTATATTTGTAAATAAAGTTTTCTAGAACACAGCACACCCATCTCTTATTATCTATGGCTGCTTTTTTGCTACGACCCTAGCATTGAGTGGTTGCAACAGAGACCCTGTGGGCCAAAGAGCCTTAAATATTTACTATCTGGCCCTCTACAGACAACATTTGCTGGTCCACGGATTTGGGGGTCATTGATACTATTGCTTGCTGGAACCTAGTGCAAAGAGGAGGTGAAAGTTACGACATGGTTCACCATTTCTTAGAAAAATAACTGAATTTTATACATACAGTGGTAAGGCTTAGGAGACTGTGAGTCCAGTCGTATCTTGCTTTAGCTCTTTGGGTATTCCTTCCCCACCTACACTTTGGCCAAAATGACTGGAATAGATCAGGATTTTCAAGCTGTGTTAACTGAAAGGCTTAAGAAGAGAGGAGTGAAGATGAGGGAGTTACCAAGAGGATGAGACTTGGAGCCTCATAGATCCACTTTATATACTGCTATTCTGTAGTACATCCTAAGTGTTCTGCTGCTGCTGCTGATGTGTACTGAACACCTGTTGTATGCCGAGCACATTTATAACTCTCATTCTCCTAACGACTCTTTTAGTGCCTGCTTTTCAAAAGAGGAGGCTGAGGCGTGGGGAAGTGAACTAAGGATATGCAGTGAAGTGGTGGAGCTGGGACTTTCACCCAGAGGGTCTGACTCCAGAGCTTACTGTGCTGAGCTTCCTGCAAGATATTTTTTACAGGACAGCTCTTGGTCTTGTAGGGCTTTGGCGGTGAGCAAGGCACATACTACTGTGGAGCAATCCGTGTAATGAATTAATGGAATGGAAAACAGAACTGTCGGTGGTGTGGATGGTGTCCAGGGAAGGCTGTCTGTTCCCCCTGCATATTGAGTTTGGTTGTATTAGAGGAAGGACCTCAGCTATGAACCCCCGCAGCTCACCATTTAGAATTCCATTATAGAGACACAGAGATTCAGGACATTCCAGGAAGAAAGGAGTCTGTCCAGAGATCCCAGTGCCTAGGAACTATATTCCAAGGACGAACTCCATGGCTTTGAGTCTAGAAAGGCATCTTCCTCAAAGAAGAATAGTTGAAAAATAGACAGTGAATCTGTGGCTCCCAGAAGATCCCGGTTTAATGAGTCAGAGAAATGAGACTGGAGTGTGGGAGGCTTTGCTGGGGTGGATGTTGTTCTCATCACTGCATGTGTCGAGACGGTGATCAAGATGGTAGCCAAGAGAACAGGCTTGAATGAGACTGACTTGGGTTGATACATGGCTTAGACACGTGACCACTAAGCTTCAGTGTTCTCATCCAGAAAATGGTAACAGTCCTGGGGCTGAATTGTGGACGATATTTACCAACATTTGTGGACACTTACTATCTGAATCCCTTTCCTAGATTTAGGAAGGAGCTCTCCTTGCTGTAATAATAGTGAGGCAGAGCCCCACGACAGAAGTTGGTCACGCAAGCATCTCCTCCCAGTCTCCCTTGTGGCTGCATGTGGGCATGTAACCTACACCTTCCCCCTGACCCCCAATCATACACACTAACCCAAGACTGAATCAGAAGACATAGGGACCCTACAGAAATCATTTTGATGAAGATGGCAGGAGTGGCCACAACCCATGTGTTTCCAAAGTACCAATGACAGCATCTAGTATTAGTGCTGAAATGACTTTGTGTGGCCACAGCTCTGAGATGTCTTCACAAGAGCAGTCCTGGGGGCTAATCCTGAGCTTGGAATCAGGCTTCAAAACACTCTCCAACCCTCCTAGGGAGTCTTCCATAAGTATCCAATATGCTCTGAAGAGATTTTGCTTGTTTGCTTGTTTTGCTTAAGTTAGGCAAAGTTGGTTTCTGTTGATCGTCACTTAGAATCCCTACTGAAGATTGTTGTCATAAGATGCTATGAGGTTTAGCCCCATTCCTAGTAAGTTGCATGTGCTTACTGCACACTAACCATTACTTCCCTCCGTGTGTGTTGAGGTGCGGGGGTGAGTGTCAGCCGCAACCACCATGTATGGATACCCGCCAGGCGGCATGCCTTATGTCATGCACCTTTGTTTAATGTGAGCCTATGTGAGGTCTCTTATGTCCAGATGAGGGATCTGAGACCTACTAGGATACCTGAATTTGCCCAAGATCGCACAGTTCGTAGAGCTATGATCCCATCTCCAGACGGAGAGCCTCAGCATTTTCTACTCTGCAACTCTGCCTCCCCAGCTGAATGATTCCCTTCCATCCTTCCTTCCATGTTTTCTTCGTCCCTTCCTTTGTTTCTTTTCTATTTTTTTGTCACCGACCGTTTAGTCGGGCTAATGTTTTCCCTGGCTTTGGTAACACCAGTGTGAGGGTGGGTGACAGATTTATGGTGGCATTCTCATTCACTTCGCAGGAGCCCACACATCCGGAAGTATTCCCAAGGTGCCAATGTGTTATTATGCAACACCCTGGGACTTCCCTTTCCCACTTTCCCACCCCCAGAGCCCTCATCCCCAACACATAATAAGTTGCTTGTTAAAAGGAGCACTACCCACAAGACCTCTTAGGCAATGAGGCTACATCCCTGGTAATGTGGAACTTATCTTGTCCTTTTCCCCCCTTTTTAAAATATAACATACACCAGGCCTGAAGTTTCAGTTAAAAAATGTGGTATCAGTGAAATGATAACTCCCCACACCCCATCCCAACAGGCTCTGGCTGGAGGCATTGTTCGCAGCGTTGGGAATTCTGTTTCTAAAGCACTGAGTCATAAACTACAGACAGGCTGCTGATAACAGCTGAAGGAGGGAAGGTAATGGTCAAATTAGTCAGACAAAATGTGAAGCATCCCCAAAAGGGGTTATACTCAGTAATATATCTTGAGTGGGTGCTGGAAATGTGCTACCTTCAGAGATGGCGTTTAATCCATTACAGGAGATGCGATTGTGGGGGACTTCTCATGCTGTGTTGATTTAGCACCCTGTGTCTTTCAGGAGAGCTGGGTCCAGGTCTTAGCTCAGACTTGAGAGCCTGGGTTGCAGCTTTGCATCTCACCTCGGAGCCTCAGTTTCTCCCTTTGTGAAATGAGAGTGATCGTGCTGAGGGCCCTAAGGCTTCTTTCCCTGTCTGACAGTGAGGAATCCTCCATCTGTCAGACATCCATTTAAGGGCTTTGGGGTTTCAAATCCTACTTGATGCTGATATATAGTTAAGAAAACAAAGCAAACGGACCCCCACGTTGTCTTTCCCAGACACACACAC